ATAAATGCAAGCTCACTTCATCTCCTCTTGCGGGAGACAGGCTGTTTGGTCCTTCCCTCGATCCGCTACTTATCGAGACTTGAAACAAAAAGAAAATTTTACCTCCCCTTTTTCGGAAGTCAGACCCTAGAAACCCTCAGTCCTTTCGGAGGGGATCCTTTCGGCCCTTTTATCAGGGTCCATTCTCAACCAGATACCAGAGACCCCCACCTTTCCAACCAGGGCAACAGCCGGAGAGGTCAGACTTTGGGGATAGGAACCGAAGGGGTGGCCAATCCAAGAGATCCTTCCGAGGAGCGGGAAATAGATCTTTCCAGCGTCTAAGATAACCCCATGGACCCGGCTCCCATTGGTAGCCACCTTAAATTATTCACGGACCAATGGGACTCCTCAATGTCTGATTCCTGGGTCAGAGACGCAATCAGATTCGGGCTCGTGCTGGAGTTTCAATCCGCTCCCCCAGACTTCTTTATGTCGTGCCCTCTTTCCAGAGATCCGGTTGAACGAAATCTTATGGAAACAGCTATTCAGCATCTACTGGACATACGAGCCATCCAACCAGTAGCTACTGACCAATGAGGGCGAGGTTTCTGTTCACATCTTTTCGTTGTTCCCAAAAGTTCAGGGGAGTGGAGAGCAATCTTGGATTTGAAACGTCTTAATCAATTTTTAGTATATGGCAAATTTAAAATGCACACCCTGCAATCTATCTTACTTGGTATCAGAAAAGGTGACATCCTTACATCCATAGATCTGACGGAGGCGTACTTACATATTCCCATTCAGCCTTCCCACTATACATTTTTACGATTCTGTTATAATAATCTACATTTCGAATATGTGGCTCTTCCTTTTGGACTAGCATCTGCCCCCAGGACCTTCACAAAAGTTCTCGCAGCCCTCGCTGCTCATCTCTGGGGTGTCCCCACACGACTGCAGTGTTACCTCGATGATATCTTAATTTTGTCATCTTCTGTTCATCAAGCAATCATAGATACTCAGACTACATTACAATCCCTACAACTACACGGGTTCTCAATCAATTGGGAAAAGAGTCATTTAACACCTTCGACTCAATTAATCCATCCGGGGGCAATCATAGATACAGTGGTAGGCAAAGTTTTCCTGTCACCAGATAGACAAAACAGCATTCATCAATTAGTTAAGGAGATCAGGGTTCGCAAGAGGGTGTCCCTAGCTGATTTATCAAAATTGTTAGGCAAGATGATCTCATGTATATCTATTATTCCTTGGGCCTGGCTCCACGCTAGATCTCTTCAGTGGTTCCTGCTCTCGTACCAGTGATCTGGCTGAAGCAACTCCAAATACAAGGTCAAGGTTCCATCACAGGTCCTCATATCTCTCCTCTGGTGGACCAGACCAACCATAAACAAAGGTTGTCTATTCAAAGAGCCCCACAGACTTACCATCACCACCGATGCCAGCCTGTTTGGATGGGGAGCGCACATTCAATCGCTCACAGCCCAAGGCCGCTGGTCCTCCATAGAACAGTCGTGCAGCATAAACTGGCTGGAGCTTCGAGCAGTATACCTGGCTCTCTGCAGCTTCCTTCCACAGGTACGCAATCAACACATATTAATATTGACCGACAATGTAACTGCGAAAGCTCACATAAACAAACAGGGGGAACTTAGTCGAAACACCTCATGCGAGAAGTGGAGTGTTTGTGTTGTTGGGCAGAGAGCAACCTGATTTCCCTCAGAGCAGAACACATTTCAGGACTGTCAAATACACAGGCAGATTGGCTAAGCAGGGCCACGATAGATCAATCGGAGTGGTGCCTCTATCCGACCCTCTTTCAAGAGGCAGTCAGGACATTTGGGCAGCCAGTGGTAGACCTGTTCACTTCCCCCCTCAACGCTCAGCTCCCAAGATTTCTTTCCAGATACCCCTTGCAAAGAGCGGAGAATCTCAATGCGCTCCATTACCGTTGGCCTCTGGGACTTCTGTACGCATTCCTGCCACTTCCACTGATCCCCAAGGTCATCCAGAAGCTGCTCGATGAGAGGACGGAGCTGCTTCTGGAAGCTCCCTACTGGCCCAGACTGCCGTGGTTTGCAGACCTCCACAGTCTATCTATATCACCACCATGGAGAATTCTGCCAGACAGGGTCTTGTTAACCCAAGGACCCCTTCAACATCTGGACCCTCAATGGTTGCACCTGACCATCTGGAGGTTGAGTGGAGTCGTCTGAAGAGCAAAAAGTTTTCCAACAGAGTTATCGCCACCATCCAAGTTGCCAGATGCCCCTCAACATCTCGCATCTACAATGCCATGTGGTCCAGTTTCTGCAAATGGTGTACCAAGTCTCAAATTGATCCCATTTCTCCATCTGTGGCTGAAATCCTAGAATTCTTACAAGAGGGGTTTGACAGGGGATTTTCACCTAATACGTTGAAAAGACAAGTGGCGGCCTTGGCGTCAGTCATCACTTATGAAGGTCTCCTATCTCTTTCCCATCATCCATGCATACAGTGTTTCCTTCAAGGAGCCACAAACCTACGCCCACCAACGGTTCACCATTATCCCACTTGGGACCTTAACAAGGTCCTTCTTGCACTCACTAAGTGCCCTTTCGAACCTTTGCAATCATCAAGTCTCCAATTTCTGACGTATAAAGTAGTTTTTCTTGTAGCAATCACTTCTGCTCGTCATATTTTGGAACTGGCAGTCTTGTTGATCAGACAAGATCTTTGCATCTTCCATTCCGACTGGGTCATCCTTCGTCCTGATCCTATGTTCATACCCAAAGTTAATTCAGCCTTTCACAGGGCACAAGAACTGATACTTCCTAATTTTTGTCCCAGACCATCCCAAGGGTTGGAATGACAATGGCATCGTCTGGATGTGAGGCAAACATTGCGAATATATATTCACCGCACAGTGTCTTTCAGAAAAACAGAAGCTTTATTTGTGTCCTTTCAGCCCAACACTCAGGGATGCAAGGTCTCATCCTCCACAATAGGCCGTTGGCTGTGGGCCGCAATAGCGAAAACGTATCAGACTCAAGCACTTCAGGTGCCCAGGGGAATAACAGCTCATTCAACAAGGAGCGCCGCAACATCGGCAGCATGGGCCACGCAGGCACCAATTACTGACATCTGTCGAGCCGCAACCTGGGCCTCTCCATCGCCTTTCATTAGGCATTATAAAATAGATGTGTTTGCATCAGCTGAGGCCTCCTTTGGCAGAAGGGTTCTGCAACGGGTCCACAGGGACCAGGAGGGGATCCCAAGACAGACGGAGTCCTTCCCATAGGACAGGCCAAGCTTTGGTATGTCCCACTACTGGATACTCTGAGCAGCTCGTGGGAGAAAGGGCATTGATACTTACCTGACATGCCTGTTCTCTTTGAGCTGCGAAGAGCATCCAGCCCCACCCTCTTTCTGTCTGGTGGGATCCTGTTTCGGCCAACGAATTTTAGCGTATTAAAGGCGAGGGTGTTTGTTTCTCTCATCTTCACCAAAACTGGGGAATGCTGGGGAGGAGTCCCATGGAGGAGGAGGAGCGTTCCGCAAATTAAGCCCAGCCTAGACAAGCAGAGACTGAAGCACCTCCCACTACTGGATGCTCTTCGCAGCTCAAAGAGAACGGGCGTGTCAGTTAAGTACCAATGCCCTTTCTCATGCTTTGCAATTATTTTTTTAAAAAGCGCCCTAACACAGTTTTATAGTGAATGTGGCATTAAAACATTTAGATTAGCTATAGAGTCTCAAAAAAGTACAGAATTCACTGGACAAAATATTTTTCAACAGGCTTTTCATGTACAACATTTAGTTTTATTATAATACCAACACATGTCATAAGATTTCCCTCCATAGAATAACTTCAAATTTCAATTGATGTATTTATTGTTTGATTTCAATCTTACCTTTCTGCCTGGAAGGCATCAAGGAATTTAGCCATTTTTTTTTTTTTTTTTTTAATGAGCAATTGAAAAACACTAAAATCCCTATTAATACAGGTATAGATAGTCCTCGAGTTACAATAGTTCATAGTGACTGTTCAAAGTTACCATTGCACTGAAAAAAGTGACTTGTGACCATTTTTCACATGATCGTTGCAGCATCCCCATGGTCACATGATCAAAATTCAGATGCTTTGCAACTGACTCATATTTATGACAGTTGCAGTATCCTGGGGTCATGTTGTGACCTTCTGACAAGCAAAGTCAGATTCCCTTAACAACTGTGTTACTGACTTAATAACTGCAGTGATTTGCTTAATGACATTGGCAAGAAATGTCATAAAATAGGGCAAAATTCACTTAATAACTATCTCACTTAGTAACGGAAATGTTAGACTCAATTGTGGTTGTAAGTCGAGGACCATTAGTATTGCCTTCAGCTGCCTTCCATAGCAGAATTTGAAGGTTTTCCCTACAGGTTAAGTATCCAAGAGTTTTCTATCACTTCCATTTTTAAGAGATTCTGTGAAAGTACATAAGAGACGGGTGTCCCTGTCATATAGGTGGCATGAGTAAACCTATAATGTGTAAACCTCCTAGATCTAATCTTCTGGATTCCCTCTTTGTGTATCTCACTAAAATTATGAATAAACATGTATTTCTACAGGCTTTAATGTGTATCTTTTGTTTTATTGCTAGTTTTAATCTAGCATAATTGCTTTTTGCTATTGCTTGGTTTCTATCCAGTCTGTTTTTTGGTTTCTTTTTAAAAAAATTAATGGACCATGTTATATGGTTTTATTTTGTTGCATGCTATTTTGGTAGCATCGGTTTTTTTTTAAAAAAGCACATAATAAATTGTTTTATTGCTAATATTGTTATTATCACCAACAATCTCATTATAGTTATTTTTATGTACCGGTGCCAGTGGAAAGGCTAGTCTGGTTTCTTTGTGCCTATTTTAACATATCGTTAGGAATGGTGAGCCTGAATCCATAGATTGTTGGATTATATCTTTCAACCTTTAATCAATATTGATCACTGCTAAGACATTGCTTTCTTTTGTTCTAGTTGTAGAAAAAATGGACAATGTTTCTGGTGACATGGAAGATTCACGTCAACGATGCAGTGAGAAACTTTTAGAAGTGAAGAGTGATTTAAAGAAACTGGGTAATTAATATGAATGAGCTGGTTAAGTTAATCATGAAATTGTTATACCTTTATCACAGTCGTCATCAACATACTAAAATTGGAACCAGTAGTATTTTTTTTACAGTAGGTGGCAATAGATTCTTTAAAAGATTAGTTTAATTTGTTAACGGTTCATCTTTAATCTTTCAAATTCTGAATCCTGCACTTTATACGGTACCATACTGAGTAAATGCATATACGAATTATGGATTTACTCCACTATAAAACCAACTAAAGTATGTGTTAAGTGCATTAAAGCTAAGATCAATCTCTTGGGTAAATGGAATATTGGCAAACACAGTTTTCACCCTTCTGGAATCATACAACAGGACAGATTTCTTCTTGCCTGAGACCATGGTGAGCTTCTGAGAGTGAAAACAGATGATACTGATCTAGATTTACTGGTGGTCTCTCAGTAAAATGGGACTCATATGCTTTTTGTATACCTTTAATTTTCCATGTTTCAGTGACCCTTCCACCAGACTTATTTATAGAAATTAGTTTGTATTAATTCAGAATTCCCCAATGCAAACTGATCTTCATTAGCAATTCCCCAAATAAGTTTGTTTATATACTGGCTTATCCTTCTATTTGTATAGAAGTAAACTCTGTTCGACTGTTCTTCTGCTAAGTACCAAATGTGAATGTTTATCACTTTTATGCTTCTTTCAGATTATCAAGCTGAAGAGAAAGCCATGACCACAAACACAGAGCTTTCAAGTTTCAAAGCTGACATCCTAGCCCTCCGCCAGCAACTTCATGAGATGTCAGAGAAAACCACAAAGAACAAAGATACACTGGAAAAGTTACAAGAACATGGTAGCATGTTAAATGAAAGGCAAAGTCAAATGAATGGTGTTTTGGACAGCAACTCTTTCATGATCAACAACATCAACAAAACTCTTCAAGCTTACAATGACTACATTGGTGATCTCCAAGAAGACACAAATAACATTCAAACAAGCTTACAAAGCCAAATGCACTCCCATAATGTTGCCATATTGAATCTAAATAATCTTAACCAGACACAGGTTCAGCAAAGAAATCTTATCAGTGCTTTGCAGAGATCTGTGGATGACACAAGTCAGGCTATCCAAAGAATCAAAAATGACTTTCAGAACCTTCAGCAGGTTGCCCTCCAAGCACGGAAAGATACCGACTGGCTTAAAGGGAAACTGCAGATTTTGCAAGTATTTGCAGCTAACCATTCCGTTATGACCAAAGCTAATAATGAAACACTTGAGGATATGAGCAGTCAGTTAAACTCATTCAGTGAACAGATGGAGAATATCACTACTATTGCTCAAGCCAATGAACAAAGTTTGAAGGATCTCCAAGAACACTATAAAGAATATGAAAACAGAACATCTGCCAAATTTAGCCAGCAAGAAGATCAATTTCATAGCTTTGAGACAGATATTGTCAACATTATTAGTAATATTAGCTACACTGCCCATCACTTACGGACACTAACCAGCAATCTCAATGATGTCAGGACAACGTGCACGGATACTCTTAGCAAGCATACGGATGAGCTGGCTTTTATGAACAACACATTAGCTAATGTTCGTTTTGATGCTACTACTTTAAGGATGCAGCAGGATGTGATGAGGACCCGGTTAGATAACGAAGTAGCCAATTTATCCATCATAATGGAAGAAATGAAGCTGGTAGATTCTAAACATGGCCAGCTGATTAAAAATTTTACAATACTGCAAGGTAAGAAATATATTGGATGACTTTTCCAAAATAAATATTGGTATTGATTTTCAAATTGTCTAGAACAGGAGTCTCCAACCTTGGCAACTTTAAGTCTGGAGGATTTCAACTCCCCAAATTCCCCAGCCAGCAAAGCAACTTTTGGGAGTTGAAGTCTTCTAGGCCAAGGTTGGAAACCCCTGGTCTAGGATACCGCAGATCAGGGGTGGAATTCTACCAGTTCACACCTATTCACGAGAACCAGTTGTTAACATTCTATGCAGTTTGGAGAACCGGTTGTTAGAAGAAATTACTGGCCTAATCCTGTAAGGAAGGTAGGAAGGAAACATTCTGGTGTTGCTTACAGAAACTGCCTCTCCATTAACCCTTATTACTTTCTTGGCAAGACTAGACTTCCTGTCTCTGGAACTTCTCTGGAGTTTTTTTCCCCTCCTTTGCTGGTACTTTGCTTGTGTGGAGTGACCATTCAAAGTTACAATGGCACTGAAAAAAGAGACTTATGACCGTTTTTCACACTTACGACTGTTGCAGCATCCCCACAGTCATGAGAGGCCAGGCGAGGAGATGCGTGCCTCGATGTGAGTGATATTGAGTTGGCCACACCCAGCCAATAACAGGACCACCAAGCCACACCCACCCAGTCACATGAACACCAAACCACGCCTACCACCTAAGCCACACCCACAGAACCAGTTGTTAAACATTTTGAATCCCACCTCTGCCACAGATTATCAGCTCCATATGGCTTTCAGAAGCATTGCAGGAAAATAAATATGGTGACTACATCACTGCACTTCCTGGTTTTCTGTAAAATTGGTGGGGAAGGGAATATAAGGGTACTGTTTCTTCTTACCCTTATCAGCTTCTCAGGTTTATTAGACCTACTCTTTTCTCATGTCAGTTCTATTTTCATCTTTGTATGTCTCCCAGAGTCACTGTTGTGAGGTATGTGGCTATATAAATTATTAAAATAAATAAAATTTTAAAATGTCAAGCAAACTATTAAGTCACATAACCCTAAAACAGTTTATAAGCTCCACGTATCACACTTACCATTGTATTGCATTATTGCTATTTATAGTTTTTAGACGGACTTAGAGAAGTGGCTTTATTTTCTTTAATATTAGATTTACAGGTGGTTCTGCGCCTCATAATTCATTAATATAAATTTGTCAATCTCAAAATCATAATTTTCAGAACATGGCTGACAGTTACACAACGCATCTTTGATTAACAAAGCACATGGATTTTATTTACAGACAGTATAAATAATACTTGAATTTATTCCTGAAGATTTCTGTTCTTTTTATTTACATAAACCATTTAATGTTGACGTTTGAGCTGACCTGAAGGTCAAGTTTACAAGTTTCATTGAGCAGATCTATACACTGTAAGATATATTTATTTGAGATTTATTCTGAAGATCTGTAACAATGATGTGAATTTTAGAAAAAAAACATTATACCTATGCAAAATGAGTCTCGTGTGACAAAATATTATTTGCCTTGTTCAGACACTGTGCTTTGCTTCACTGAAGTGGAGAGGTGACCTGATGAATTGTTCCTTAATGAAACAATTTGGGTGATTTTTGAATGGGTTCGGGGCAGTTTTCACTTTTCTTCCAGTGCAGGTTGAGGGTCTTGCAGTCTTGGAATTACCTGCAGCATTTACTGAAGCTATGCAGCCTAGAAAACCCTCAGTATTCCCAGAGGTTGCTACAAGACATCTTTACAGAACAGGATTCAATATGCTTCTTTTGCTCTTCAGAGCAAGAAGATCAACATTGTTTTGCAAAGTAGCTTTGAGGTAGTTCAGACCTTCTGGAAGTAACAAACCAATTCAAAGCTTGTACAACCATGAGGCGTTCCTCTTTTCCTTCTGTCAATGTAGCCTAATCACAGATGTTTAATCCATTAATCTTTTCTCAGCTTTGGAACTTTTTATTTCAGAATTATAAGACTATATAAAGGAACACATGTAGTTTAGCTATAGAATTTGATAGCATAACATTTAGTGATGGTTTCAAAGTTAAAGAAGATCTACTGCTAATGGAAGAACAATTAGACTGGGTTGAAATATGGACATATTTTCAAAGCAGCATAGAAAAGGTTACACAAATGTCAACATTTCATTTAAGCAGTACTAATTACCTTGGTCAAAACCAGTGGTTCTCATGTTACTTTGTTCCTGTATCAAAGAACCTGGATCTTGATACATGGAACAAAAAAAAGGTAATATTTATACAAATATTCTACTATTGTATGTAATTGTTTTGGTACTCTTATGGACCTATATTACAATAATAGTTGAACTTCCTGTTATAATGGATGCCACTTGTTGAGAAACACCGGTGTAGACTATAAGCTATTTGTTGGATAATTAAAATACAGATTATGTGAAAATGTAGTATTAATGTCATACGGTTATCGCTGGTTGGGAATTTTTTTTGCTATTCTTAAGTTCATGTTCCTCTATCTGGCTCTTCTTTCGGAACTAATTTCTAAAACAAAATGTAATAAATGAACGAATTAGTATTGTCTAAGATGCCAATTTCGAGTAGCAAGAACAATACTGCATTGTATTAGTTTTTTTGTAACATTACTCCAAACAGCTCAATTTTAAAAATAATTGCAAGGTAAAATTGGTCCATTATATGTTTGGTTTGATTTGACATTTTGGATTACTGATTATGTTGAAGTATCTTAGAATCATAGATGAAAAATGTTATTTAGGTGATGTCTGTCTGCTCCTCGAAGCTGGAATCCAAATTAAAGCACCAATGGCAGATATTTGTTTACTTGTTAGATTTATATCTTTGCCTTTTTGAAGCTCAAGGTATATATGTATATGTAGTGGTTTTTATTTCATTTTCCCCACAATAGTACACTGAGGTATTGAGCTGAGTGATTGGCTCCAAAGAACTTGGATTTTACTCAGTCCAAGTAAAATATAGTGAGTTCTCCAGAACAACAGAGAATAGTTTAGTATCCTAAACTTTGTGTAATATCTGATCTGAAGAGTGCTATCATATTTCCACTCAATCTTTCCTCATTAAGGTCAAACATTCTTAACTCCTTCAATCTCTCTTTATAATACTTGGTTTTTAATCTCTGATTGTCCAATTCACTTGAATCTTTTTTAAAGTGTGGTGCCCAGAACTGGGAAAAAAACTCTAGTGGGTCTGTGAAAGGAAAGAAAAGGAAGTAATATTTTCCATGGTTTGAAAACTATACTTCTCTTGATGCATCCTAAAATTGCATTTTCTTATTTGCATTCATATATTATTGACTCATACTCAAGAGTATAATCAACTATTATTCCAAGTTCTTTTCCAATACTAGTAAGCCAGTTATTCCCTGTCCCATAGTTCAGCATTTGAATTCTTTTCCTGAATGCATAACTTCAAATTTGTCTCTCTTAAATTGCATCCTATTAGTTTCAGCCTATCTTTTTAACCTATTACTTTGAATTTTATTTTAATCTTACAGGGAAGTACGTGCCATCTACAAAATAGTTTTAGTGGTCCATTTATCTCTTCATCCAGATAATTAATAAAAATGCTGAATACTCATTGCATTGATAAATCTTCATTAAATATTGTTTACAATTTACAGTAGCTCTATACACTTAATGCTTAAACCTTCCAGCCAATCCACACCCAACTAAACTTGCATTCTTGGTGGATAACACTCAGATGCTCTTGCCTTGGTGTTACCAATAGGTGGTTTATGTTATAAACTGGAGGGTGGAATAATTTTATCTTATTAATGTGTCTGTTTTTTTCCCAGTCTCCCTATGATAAAAGATCATTGCATTAGGCTGCAATTAGTTAGGCAGAACTTCCTGATGTAGCCTAGTCTGCATACTAGTGTTGTATCTTAGCTGTCTTAACAAGAACTTTTCCCCTTTAGCCCAGCTTCTAAAAAGGACTTTACAGTCCTTGTGGTGGCCTCTGACACATGGGGAGAGTTTAATGAAACCTTTTAAACTATCCCAGGAGTGGAATTTTTGTTATTGTACTGAAAAGCTTACTGAAATATATGAAGGCTTTATATTAAATCACCAAAGTGTTAAGAGGAAACTACTTTGGACCAGTCATTCTCTCTCAGTCCAACAGTCCTTGTGGGGGAAATAGGAAGGAGGAGGAGTATTAGATAGGTTTGTCACTTAGAATTATTTATAAAAATAATGAAGGTGGGATAAAATAAAATAAATAAAACAGGAAACTTTAAAATAACAAAAATATAAATAAGAGGGATGCTTGGTAAGATTTTGGACATTCTTTGATGCAACACTGAATCATGTAAACAACTTCAGTTAAACAACTTGAACAAATTTGGGCAATTTCTTAATCTTTTAAGAAAGCTGTAAACATCTATATAGTTTTAGTTTTTTGTTGACTTGTCTTGTGATATAGGCACACTTATCGATTAAGTTTTCTTGAGTTCTTTGGAGGAGCCCAGTATTTTTAAAAATACTTAGAAACTGATTTAAATCTAAAGTAGAAATATGTTCTTAGTACTAAGGGGTACTGCAGCTCACTAATTTTATTACATTAGATTATTTCATTATTCTTCTGATCTTCTCCACATATTCATTCTATTGTAGGTCCTCCAGGTCCAAGAGGTTCCAAAGGTGACAGAGGACCCCAAGGTCCAATTGGACTTACTGGGCCTAAGGGACAAAAAGGAGACAAAGGTGAACCAGGACCTCCAGGACCTCAAGGTGAAACGGGACCAAGTGGCCCACCTGGATCACCGGGTGAAAAAGGTGGAAAAGGTTCCAGAGGTTCACCTGGATCTAAAGGCCAGAGAGGTTCAACTGGGAAGACTGGGCTGCCCGGTCCTAGTGGAGATCCAGGACTCCCTGGACCACCTGGCAAAGATGGACCCCCTGGCCCACAAGGCCCACCTGGACCCATAGGTCTTCAAGGACTTGTTGGCGAACCAGGGATACCTGGTGCTCGTGGGATACCTGGCTTCCCAGGTGTACCTGGTCTACGTGGTCTTCCAGGAGAGCCTGGTCCTCCTGGGCTGCCTGGGCCACCTGGAACGTCAAGTCCAGGAGTAGCTATGGCACTACAAAGCGAGATTAACGGTAAGCTGTTAACACACCCACTATCTGTCTGCATTCTTCATTATATATTTATTACCAATATATAAAAGTATGGTTTGAAACTATGTTGTTGATTGGATTGGATTGTACTCTGTGTACACATTGCAATGGAAGTTTATCTGTTCAAGCCTCCAACTAGCATTAAATGAACATCATGGTTTTTAAAACCATGTTTCTAAGGAGGTACAGAAAAGCAATTGTTACATTTTTCTCCCGTCAGAATCCCTCACATTCTCTTCCAGAGCAGTTAGTTAAATCCAGCCATTTAATCTGTCACATTATACACAGAGTGATCGTGGGGCCATGAAGCACATTCTTTTCTGTCTTTCTCACTCACTTTCTAAAGCTTCTCTCTATAGTGTTAAGAAGACAATAAATAATTGTGACCCTAAGTCCTAGTGTTTTGTACTATTTTATATATATATAAAGTAGAAACTCAAGCTGACCAGTTCCTCTTCCCCATCTTTTAATCTCTCTTCCTTCAACTCTCATATACATTCAGTGTATATCCTGATTTTTCATTGGGCTTTCTTCTCCCTTATCTTTTAATTCACAAAACATTTTCTATGCTACTACAGAACCCATATACATATATGAGGACCAGTATCTGTCTCTTGTAATAATGGGAAAAGTTATGTATTATATGGAAAAATGGGCAAAACGTAGTATACAGTATCGTCAGTATTCCTGTTAAAACTTGATAAGTAATTGTGTACGATTGTTCAAATCTCATTGTTAACACTTGTTTCAAACTTTGCATACAAAGTTACCCCAAAATAGTATTAGCAGAATGGTTTTGATACATGAAAAAAAATCTGGAAAAAAATCTTTTCAAAACTTATCGTACAATCATATTATTAAACTGAGCCCCTTTTTTCTTTATGATAAACTAGAAATGATTTGAAGGCCAATTTGATAGAAAGGGATGGCTGCAATTCCATTTCAACAATATTCTGAATAGATAATTAGTTTTTCAAATTGCTTGGCTTCCAGTAATGTTATTCAAAACTATATCTACTAGGGTTATGAGTGCTTCAAGAGTAAATCAGAAGTCATCTCTTGGGTTTTCACATAAGCACAGTGTGTCCCTGATGCTTATTTAAAGCTAGTGCATCTTTTCTCAGGCTTCTGTGTGAGTTCGGAAAAAAAAAGATGCTGCTGTTTTAATAGTGGCATTGATTTTAATGGATTGATTCTTAAAATAGAGGCATCTTTTTTGGGCCATACTAAAGCCTAATGGTAAAAAAATAGGCTGCCTTAACATATTGCACAATAGGGTGCTGCTGTGTGTCCCTGAAGTATGAAACATTTCTTTCAAGTCATTTTCAAAGTATGCAAAGCCCTAATTTCTAAGAGGGAGGTTAAGTTTTCATTCTGCACGTTTATATGCAAGTGTTTCATGTTACAGGTTGTCCTGTTTACTGGAAGAACTTTTCAGGCAATTGTTACTACTTTTCAAACGAAAGAGCCATTTTTGAAGACGCAAAGCTTTTCTGTGAAGAGAAATCATCTCATTTGGTCTTCATCAATAGCAAAGAGGAACAGGTATAAAATCCCATCTAGCATGCAGTTAGATTTAAATAGCACAAAAGAGCAAGTATGGAACATCATTACTTCCAGCCATGCCAGTTGACAATGATTGGAGTTGAGTAGGTTAGACAAGGCAGTCAGAAAACATCTTATACATTGCAGGATCCAACCTGGGTCGGTCACCTGGACCAGAAGTTTAAGCTTCCAAGTTTTCAGACTCATGCTGCATCCCATCCACAGCTAACTTGTCTCTCACCAGAATATGTATGACTACAGAAGATTGAACCTCTGGTCCCGGTGATCGACCCAGATTGGATAATCCAACATTACCCTCACACACATATATTTGCCTTCATTCATTTTATAGGTGCTAATGTCTCATAAATATAAACATCTGACTAAAGATAATCAGGAAGGATAATCGGGATTTCAGTCTTACTGTAAAACGTTGACAAAAAAATGCAAGTAGTCCTTGTTTAGCAACTGCCTTATTTTATGACCATTTGCAGTGATGATGGTGATGAAAAAGTAACATTTGTGACCAATCCTTGCATTTACTTGCTGTAAAGCAAAGGAAAGCTGAAGTAAGATTGTAAGCTTGTTAGCACAGTTGCAGTTTCCCTAGCAACTATTTTGCTTAACAGCTGAGTTGCCACTCCCACTTGTATTTGCATGGAAGACCAACCATCACTTGTTATAGGAGCTTCTGATGCTGTTTCCTAGATTGAGTATTCTGCTGAAAATCCACGTTGGTTTTTCTTTCTTGACATGGAGCTGTCAGTTGTGGCCAGTTTGTTCAGAGCAGTCCATGAGAAGAAGAGGATCTATCACTCTTTCTTATTCCGCTGATATTGTGACGCCTATGCCTGTCCCCTGCCCCATGATTTTCTTTTTATAAAGCAAAATGCAGGTTAGGGGGTTGACTCAAGAAAGGTGAGGGCAGGACTGGAAAAGGAACGCATACCTTCTTCCTGTCCACTCTGTCATCTTAATAAAATGACATTCCCACATACCTAGGCTTCACTACATGACAAAACAAAGTTGAAGGCAACATAAGCAATGTGTAGTTTGACCCTATGAAGACTAATAAAAGATTGTCCCAAATGTCAGCTTAAACGCAGTGTGTGTGCAAATGTAAACCAATGCTATCGCTGGAAGTAATATCTCCAACCCCAGAAATAGATATAGTGAGCATTCAAATAGGCAGAGGATGTCCTTCCAGATGAGATGATTATTGTAATTTCTACATGCTTTTGGGGGGATTTTAATGTAAGTTATAAAACAAACCCTTCCCAATCAGCCTCAAAGTTCCCTTCTCCCTAATCTCAGAGCCCCAAACTGTTTTATCTATTTATTTGAAATGGCTCTTTTATTAGAGGTCTTCAAATCTGATTTCAGTGCAACTAAAGCTGCATTAATACCCACATCATGCTACAATGAGCCAATATAATAAAAGACAGCATTTTGTATTGAGGCAGACAAATTAAAATACTTGGTCAGCATTTACTGAGCTGATGCTCTTGTGACAGCAAGCAGGGGAAAGAAACAAGGGACAGTTTTTTTGATAATCCCTTTTCATTCTGGCTGCAGAACCCACCACATGGCATGTAGACCCTGTGGAAGCAGCATTTCTCACAATCTACTTTACAGAATTTCCATTGCTAGAGAGGAAATTTTTAAAAAGTCACTCTCTTCATATGCCATAGCTGGCTATTACTACTATCAGTGCACCTTCTTTAACCAGAAAATTGGTTGGGGAAAAAGACATTCTTGGCAGATAATAAAAAGGAAATTGGACTGAGATTGGGAGCGTGAAAGGAAGAATGTGTTGGAAGGATGCTCAGATCAAATGAGATACACTCAGAAATAGTTCCAAGTTGATTTTGCCGATAAACTCACGTTTATGCTCAGTCATACTTTTCAAGAGGCTAAAGTAGTTTAAAACCCTGGGATGTGAAATAATGTGACCGATTCTTTCTTCTGTTCACAGCAATGGTTGAAAAAACAAGTTATTGCAAAAGGCAGTTTCTGGATTGGTCTCACTGACTCAGTGAAGGAAGATGAGTGGCGATGGCTGGATGGCACTGTACCAGAATACATGTGAGTGCAGAAAGAGCAGTCACTGTTTTCTGCTATAACTGTTTCTTAGCATCTACCAATAGGAAATGATGCAGCAGCCTTACAAAGGCATTGTCTTTTAGATTCAGATTAACATTCCTTTCATTTCAAAAGGCTTATTGCCAGGAAAAAAATCCTGAATAACCAATAAAAGAAGAGAATAAGGCACCTTAAGATGCTTATTACAGGGTTAATAGCAAACTAGGCTAGAGAAACCACAGGTTTTTTGAAACAACTTTTATACAAACATGTGTGGGTGGAGGAGGGACATCAAATAAAGAAAGAGAAAGGGTTGTTCTGACCTAGGCTTCCTCAAAAAGCAATAAGCAGACTCTTTGTCCCGGCAAAACCCCGTTTATTAAACAAAGTTGAATTTTTTGCATTCACATTCAGCCAAAGGCCTGGCAAACAGTCTTTCAAGGGTCTAGTTAGGAGCACAGACCTTATCTAGCCTGGAGAGCTGCCAAGTAAATATTTTCAAGCGCAGTGCTGACAAGGAAGGTCTCAGCACAGAGTCTCTGGGATGCACAGACAGATCTTCACACTGCTTCCAACGAAGCAAACAAACGAATGAATTGTTTCCTGCAAAAGCCCCCTCCCCTTTTGCTCCCCTTTTAATCCCTATTGGAGGGGCCATTCACCATTCACCTATAGCCTACCCCCATATCGAGCCTTAATTCGTAATTGTTCTTTTCTTTTGGCAGTTCTGCGCATGCGCAGGCTGAGAACCAGTTCCAGCTGCTCCCCCGCCTCACTAATGTCCAACTCCGAAGGCAGCTGATAACTGCCAGCCTGCCCTAGCTCCATCTCTGCCTCTGACACAGAGCCCTCGTCCGAGCCTTCCTCAGACTCCAGGACTGGCCCAGGTTCCTCCCCAACCTCCTCACTGTCCGACTCTGCTGCCAGCTCCGCTAGCCGCTGGCGGGCTACAACAGGGGTCAATTTTACTTGGCTGATTACAGAAAATAAGACTTCTGTATTGCATCAATTGTAAATCATTGCTGGTACCAAACTTGTGTCTTCATTTGTCATTGAAGCTAAATATCAACCAAATTCTGGAATCAGAGTATACACTGGATCAGCACTAGATCAAGCAGACTCAGATCTCTCATTCCCACTGAATGAAATTATTGCTGTTTTCTCCAGACTCTCAGTTTGTTTGCTGTTGAGCATTGGAACTTAGGTTAAGGAAATGTTACTGGTATCTTTGGCTAATTCCTTCTTATCCTGATGAAATCTCCACATTAGTATCTTAAATAAACCATTGCAGCTTTAAGGACCTTAAGAAATCTTAAAGGATGGTTCATAATCCACCCAAAGGATAATTTACTAGGAGGATGGTACATTCACCAAATAAATACAAAGGCTACAGAAATCTGAAAAATCACTAGATGGCAATAAACAGATTGCAAATCTCTGCTCTGGAGTTTTACAGTCCAGATCTGGTAGCTCTAATTATACAAATTTATTTTTATTCTTAGATAGTTCTTGCAATATATGATTGTTGATGTGTTTTTAGTTTATGATATGATAACATTAGGTATTTCTCTCTAAATATTGTATAACCAAAAACTATTCTTTATATTTTGATTTGGAGATGTATATATAAATCCAACAGGAAGGTGTATTTATATCTTAGTAGCTCATATGCAGCTATAGATCAGACAAACAAATACAACCCCATTGAAGGATTACACTCTGCATATGTGTCTTATGTGCAGTCCAAAACCAGAACAGAATTTTTGGTCTAATTTTAGACTTTTGAGCTTTGGCAGTTTGTCCAGTTGATTCCCATCACTAAAGCCCAGCTGTTTTCAATTTCCAGGAAAAGTAGTCATGCACTATTTGTTAAGGAGTATGATTTCTGCTTTAGGAGAGATTGTTGTTGTTTTTTTTTACTATTATAAATCTCTTCTGTCACACTGTCATATGATGGCTTGGTTATGAAATGATCATATATATATATATGTTTGTTTGTTTGTTTTATTGCAAGAAACTGGAGTGCTGGACAGCCTGATAACTGGAAACATGGCCATGGACCAGGGGAAGATTGTGCTGGATTAATCCATGCTGGGCTCTGGAATGACTTTCACTGTGAAGATGTTAATAGTTTTATTTGTGAACAAGATGTGGAAAAAGGTATGGTAAGCTTTGAACCAAATGCATTCACATTTATTACAAAGGTGTATTACCAACCAAATTTCTACAGCTGGGACAAGAGGGAATTGAATGTCCTGCTCATACAGATAAAAGATCTTGGAAGAGAACTTGAGATCAATCAAGCATCTGTGTATAAATATTCTCCGTAGCTGCTTCTGATGTCCAGGCCACTGAGTTTTAAACTAGTGGCAAGTATTCCAAGATTACACAGCTATTCTTACTAGGTTACATACATTTGGCAATCAGTGTTCTAAAACATTCCCACCTAATTCTGAAGAAAAGCAATGCAGTGATTTATTTTTTCCAATTAACACCTAAGTAGTGTAATTTCAGAACTCAAATATGCAGTCTGAAAAGCTATAAGCGATAGGAAAACGTTCTTGAAGTTTTTTAAAGGAGTATTTAGTGATGTATTTCCTTTCTGGTGAAAATAAAGCAAAGTGGAATACAACCCCCCCCCCAAATAATAGAGCCATAATGATAAGTATCTCATTAAAATACTGCTGTACTAAAAGTTATTATTATTAAAAACCAAACTTGAAAGAGCAGTCCAAGACAGAGCACCTTAGAATAATCAAAGACAATGGGTGAAGAGCCAGATGTTATTAATCAGCTTCCCCTTTCATTAAGCATTTCTGTATCTTACATTAAATTGAAAAATTGAAAAACGAGATACAATTCTACCTTTGTATTTTGTTTTTATCAATTATATAGAGAAATAGTTAATATCTGACTCTTAGGTTAATTTAATAGCAAGGGTTTGAAGTAGTGGGTCTATCATAAAATTCATTGGATGTTTTGGACAAATTATTCTTTTTTCTTTTCTCAACCTGACCTTATATAGTACAAGAAGGCTGGAATTAGGATAAAATGCTCACCTGAGTTTCTTCAGAAAAGGAAGTGAGAAATATACAACAAACATAGGGCTCTCTTGAATCTTTCCTTATTTATTAAATTTATATGCTAACCTGAATTTAAATTTCAGTTATAATTTTCATGTGTGTTTAAATTTCAGCAGCTTTTAATATCTGAGACATGTTGTCACTGCAACCAAAATGTATTCTGTATAACATCTAGAAAAATAATTCTTAGACATCTATTTGTGTTTACTTGGTGCTGTTTCCTACAAAGTAAATAACTTCTACAATGAAGTAATACAAGAAGACCTTTATGCCAGCACTTCAGTCTTGATCCCTATTAGATCCCCTTCCTTGCCCCCTCCTCCTCAATTATCTTACAACATGATTAACAGCATAACATCTGACTTTATAACCGGCCCTCCAAGATGATTAAGCAACTATACAACACAATTCAGATGTGTTAAATAAAGACAAGTTTTTCCTCAGCTAGTATGGCAATCTTTCCAAAGAACCCAAGATTTCACTACGTTAACAATAGTCAACTCTTAGGTGATTTTTTTAAGGATCAGAATTGTCTTTTAATAAGACTATGGAGCTGGTGGATGGGGAGGGATCACCTGTAGAGAAGAATCAATAGTTTGAAAGTTTTATTTTTTTTTCTACTTCTGCATTTCAAGAGTGAAACCAATGGGACTGCCCTTGTGATTCATTGGCAAATGGCAATGGACACTTTGTAGATAGACTGTAATTAGTACACACTGATTCTCACATTAAATATCTTCTTAACCACTGTCATACCATTTGCATTTTGACTGGCTATGGACAGACACAGATTTGGACAGCAACTTGCAGCTTTGGCATTGGTTTCTGCATTTTAAAGCCAAGTTTTAACTTTGTAACTCTTGTTACTTTTCCTTTCCCACTGCAGCTCAGCCTCCAGGATTGTAACAGGTCGTGGACCAAGAGACTGGCATTTTCTTTGCAAAGAGATTCATCTGGGACTGGGAACCATTACCCAAGAAAAGGAGCACTGAGAACTTTGATGAATAAACTTCATCAGCACAATTTGTCCTCCACATTTTCTAATTTTTCAGGGGCTTTACAACCTGTTGCACAAACATGTTGGTAGAAAATGTAATTGGACACAACTACTTGTAGATCTCTTCAGTCGTTAAGCAGAAGATATGTTCTGGTAAGAACTAGAAAATAGCAAGCTGATAACAAGTTATGACTTTACTACTCTAGAAAGACAAAAAAAAAAAATACAAAGCTACTGTGTAAACAAGGCAGCCACTTGCTAAATTCCCAAATATTGGCAATTTATATAAATATACATGTATAAATTTATATAAAATTTATATATAAATATATATAGTCCAGTTCTGATCAGTAATATAGAATATACTTTTTAAAGCTTTTAAAATTCTGTATTTTTGTACAAAATGTTGCCTATTACATTGATTGAATTGCCTTTTTATACGAATATAGTAAATAGAAATCAAACACCATGAATGCTACTTATCATTCAGTAGAAATAACAGTCTGGAATAAATTACCCCATGTTTAAACTTTAACTTTTAAAATTGATTTTAGATGGCATTAGCAGTCTATTATACAAAAATATACACAAAGTTAAGATCCAAGGACAACATGCTTGTTTTTCCGAACTGGTCCATTGACAGAACTCCGGGCAGCTGAATGTCTAGCAATAGACTTGAAGGAAGGGATAGCATTGTCTACTAAACTACATATTTTATAGAGAATTCAGGATTCAGTCTTCCTGATTCCAATCAAAATAATCAAGTGGTCAGAGAGCTTTTTTAAAAAAAGGGCCCTGGGAATTTTTACTGGCTATTATGCAGGGCGTAGTGTACTAGCTGCTTAACATGACCTAATATAAAATATGCTTTATGTTCCTCTTATGTTCTTCATGTGTAGGCAATTTCTATTGCTGTAATGGACTTTAGACCATTGGGCACTAGTTTAAGACTAATAAAGATTTTAACCAATATAGATATTTCTGTCAGACGTGTGCAAGTTGTTCTTAATGCCTTTTTGGTACCTACCCACTGGGTCGGGGGGAAAGGAACCAATAGACCTTGGCATTTCTTGATTAGACATTTTTCTGCTCCAGTTCAATGCCTCCAAATTGCAGCTTTTTCTTCCAAACGGAAAAGAACTTGTCAGAGAATAGTTAACCATTCCATGCCACTGTTGCCTTCCTGTTGTTTATCAATAAGACATTGCTCTGGAGAAGAGAGATAGAGATAAAAAAGCAAAATCCAAGGCACTGGGAAAGAGTTTAGTATATCTGCATGCAACATGTAATTTGGTGGGTCAGTCGGCAAAATACTACAATACAACAGTACTTTCTGTACTTCCACAGTGTTCAGTAATGTGCTTAACATAAAATTTGTGCTTAACATAAAATTACAGTGAAAATAAAATGCAAGTCACACATGTTGACATAAATAGTATTTACATGATTTTTGTATGTAAAATTGATACTATGATTGTTTGTGAATATTTATATTTAAGGTAAGTATCTGTAATCATTTTGCTGCAGATCTGGACACAACTGGACACCTAAAAAGAATGTTGATAAACTTAGAATATCAAAACAATGAATACATTGAAGTAATTAACTTTTCCTCTGAAATGTTTTTCACATTAGGATAATTTGTTGCTGTGATCTGTGTTGTTCAGTTAAATAATGTATACAAACTATTTCTTTCCATCTCTAACATCCTTCTCTATTCTCCTTCACTGGTACCAAAGCAAATTCTCGAATTAGTTTGAATTGAATATTGGTCAAGTTATTTATATGCTGAGACTTATGTGTTCCTCCTGTCACAAAGGGCTCAGGGCCACTTAAATGCCAATGTCCAGCAAAATGGTTAAAATCAGGTAAAATAGCCTGTTGTAATTTGCCACTAGGGACAGTCAAAACAAAAGTGACAAATACCTCTGCTCAAGGACAAACAAATATTCATTTCAGCCTCTCAGAGGCCCCCTAGAAGCACCAGGTCCTAATGGCCCTTGAGAGCCATAGTAAGGATACAGCTCTTATGTCCGGCTTATGCTGTTTTAGAGAAGGGGAGCAGTGACAGAGAAAATCTGCCCTGTATTCCCCAATCACCTGATGTTACTTAAGTCATTACATTGTAAACCAGACGAAGCTTGTGATCTCTAAGTGAAGTCCAAGGTAGAGTGCATTGCAATAATAAAAAAACAGGGTGACAAAACCCCTTAGCATAAGCCCCTGATCCAGACAAAGACCCTGACCCAGAAATTGCCATAAAAGGGGTTACAAGCTGGAAGCAGGTAAAAACCTCTTGGTCATGGTTGCCATCTGCTCTTTGAGCAGGAACTGAGAATATAAATAGATTCTCTAGATTATGAGTCAATTCTGCATGCTGGAGTTCTGTCCTGGCCAGAAACAAAGATGGAAACTTAATGGATTTAATTGGCTCGTGTACCCAGAGCCAGTACTGTATGTCCTGATTATACTAAACTTGAACCAGATCATAACAGGATCTCCAAAATGAGATGAAATCATTACGGTAAACATAACCCCCACAGTGGAGAACCTTAGAGGTCAACTCCCCAATTGAAATAGCAATAAGGCTTTGAAGAAGGAGCATACTACCACTCTCCTCTACTGCTTCTCCCAAGGGTCCACTGATTACTAGCTTGACTCAGCCCTCCTGTTACATCTCTGAAATCTTTCACTAATCAGATGAGGAAGGAATACAAAAACATAGATGGTTTCAAAGAGTCTTGTTTACTTACTTAGACCAACAGGTTCAAACTCATTTCAGATAACTTTGCAAGATGACTTCTTATAGAACTTGTCGGCATCTTATTCTGAATAAAAGAATATGTGTATGCATAGCAACAGAACATAGAAAAATATTAAAACACAACAAGAAAAAAAGCAATGCAACTACATCAAGGTAAATTGTACATATTAAAGCTTCCTGTGCATATGCAGGTCATATGTATGAAGATTTTGCATAACAGCTTTGAAAAAGAGAATCATATTTCATGTTAATTGTTCATGAATGATATATGTATTTGCATAGGCAGATAACCTGATATGTGTGGCTTTTTCTTTGTTCCAATTAGCTATTTGTTATTTTGAGTTATGATATCAATCTTGAGTCCATTACAGATTTCAAAATTGCTCTTTTGGGACGGGAAAGGTAAAAAGAAAAAAGGAATTTGGCCAATACAGTTGAAAGATTGCTGAATTCACATATGTCAACAGATTTCAAACTCTCTCAGAAGGTCTCATTCTGTCTAACCTGCTCCTTCATAAAAAGGCACCATCGGCACGAGTTTAGCCATTCCATGCATCTGATTTAGTTTAAAGCTTGTGCCTCTTAATAACATTTAATAGAAAAAAGTGTTACCAAACTCCTCCAAAATATGGCGTTCTGAGGTTTTAGGAGAAGGGAGAACAATCATAAAAAGAAATTGAAAGAATGTACACGTAGTCCTCGATTTACAACCGTCCATTTAGTGACTGTTCGAAGTAACAACAGCACTGAAAAAAGAGACTTATGACCGGTTTTTACACTTAGGAATGTTGCATCATCTCAATGATCATGTGACCAAAATTAAAATGCTTGACAATGGACTCATATTTATGACAGTTGCAGTGTCCCAGACAAACAAGAAGAAAGCAGTGCAGATAAATGGGCAGAGAGATCTTAATGGTTTAAAAGGTTACCAAATAGGAGAGTAAGATTTAAGCAGAGCTCTCCCATCTAAGTTCCTGTGATGACCCGGGGCATGGCACCAAAGCAATAAAGTCACAAAAATAGGTAAAGTCACTTTAATACCTCCAACTTGGCCCTCAGTGTCCAGTTATCCTCAGCTGGAGATCAAAGTCTTCCAAAAACAGTCTAGAAGGGAAGAAATTCAAACCCAAAGTACAGATAAATTAGAAATAAAAAAACAACAACACAAACCACGCTGAAGTAATTAACATGACAGGCCAGGATAATAAATTGCAGACTTCCAAAAGATAACGAAGCACACACAGTTGGGAGGACCCAGATAAGCCTTGACAAAGATAATGCACGCTTTGCTTCCAGCAAGGTGCTATGTGCAAATGCCTGTCTTATATCCTGTTCTCCCAGCTGCAACTAATAAAAGGGATCAGGGCCTTTTTCTCTTCCGTAAGCCACGTTGCTCCCTTCTCCGTTCCTCCCTGCGTGCCCTAGGATGAAGAAGGGGTGGCCCTGGATCTTCCTCTGAATGCCCAGCCGGACTGTGCCCTTCCCCCATTTCTTCCACAGCCACAGGAGCCACACTCCTACTCCCTGTCAGCTTCTCAATCTCCCCCTCAGAATCAGACTCCAACAAGGGCATGACATGTCATGTCCTCTGCCTGAATGGCTTCTATTGCTCTCACCTTCTCCCAAGTTAAACTGCCATTCCATGCAAACATTGCAGTTTAGCAGCAACAATCATGCTTCCCTTCCCAATATTATTGAGGAATGTGATTGCTCATGACATTTCATACTTGCTCCCTCCTGCTGAAAAATATCCTCTTAAGGCTTTGAAGATTACGAGTATTTTCATATAGGAAAAAAGCTGCCAGGCCTTATGCGTAGAGAATTTTTAAACAGATTTATATCCTCTGAAAAGTTTGTCTAGGCAGATGACAATTATTTTTCTTCTTAACTTTTGCCATTTTAAAATTTGTAAGAAACTCTTCCTAAGAAGCTTCCTAAGAAAAGTAAAGGTTGTTAATCTACTAGGGAATGGCAGAGAAGAAGCATTTTAGCAAGTTTCCCACCCACCTCCCCGTACCAGGCAGCTTTGGTGTTGTACTACACATAATAAAAAGTTAAAATATGCTGTCTCATTGCTGGCAGCCACTTCACTCTCTGCCTGGAATGCTTTATCACCTATAGTTATAAACAGCACATATGACCGCACCTAATTACAAACTAATGGGCAAAATATATTAATCATGTGCTTCTGGAATATGCAAAGAGTTTCATGATGTTCATGGAAAATATTCAGCAATGTGTTTGGCAGGACAGAAAAAAAATCCTCTCACAGTCTGAAAGCGCTGTGTTATGAATCTAATGACTTCTTCCCATCAGAGGCATCTTGCTGAGGAAAAGCAGTTTATCTTGGAAACTCGTCAAATCTGTCATAGTCATTTCCCACCTACACACATTTTTGTAATAATGTGCAACCAACTTTAAAATGGCAGTTTGTATGTGCAGGTAGACTTCGATGTACAATCACAATCAAGACTAAGGAAGGTTAAATGAGTCACACTGGATTTTATGATTTATTTATTTTGCCACAGTTGTTAAGAGAATGATTGTAGCTGTTAAATGAATCACAAGATTATTAGGTGCAGTGGTTAGAATGCAGTACTGCAGGCTAATTCTGCCCACTGCCAGGAGTTTGATTCTTACCGGCTCAAGGTTGATTCAGCCTTCCATCCTTCCAAAGTTGGTAAAATGAGGACCCAGATTGTTGGGGCAATAGGCTGACTCTGTAAACTGCTCAGAGGGGGATGAAAAAGCATTATAAAGTGTGTAAAAGTCTAAGTGCTATTACTATTAAGCAAACCCAACTTCATTCAATGGCTTCGTTTGTCAGAAGCTAACTGAGAAGATAACCAACAGTGATCACATGATCCTGACATGTTGTAAATAGATGCCAGTTGCCAAGCACCTGAATTTTGAACACATTATTGTGGGGATTCTGCAACGATTATAAACATGAGAACTAGTTGTAAGTCACTTTTTTTTCAGTACTGTTGCCACTTCAAAGGGTCGCAATAACAAATAGATGTAAGATGAAGACTACCTGTATATAGCAATAGCACTTGCATACACTTTATAGTGCTTTACAGCCCTCTCAAAGTGGTTTACAGAGTTTATAGGTTTATATGTTGTGTGTGTGGATGGGACAGAAGGACGAAGAAAGAAAGAGAAGATTTGTTCATGTGCACACGTACAAAAAAAAAAACCAACTTCAGTAAAAATAAATTAAACTTTCTGATTCAGGTTCATAGAGTGAAATACTGTAGTAACATACTTCCTAAATAGCTGTGATATCTATAAGAAAAATGACAGTCTTCAATTTTAAAAAAGGGGGATATAAGTAATGTTTTTAAAGGATAGCGCTATATCATTTGTGTTCTATCACCAGGACAAAGCAGACTCGAAGACCGGAGTTGAATTCAGCTGTTTATTAGCAACCAGTAACTTCAACTAAAGTCGAGCCGCGGCAGCCCTTTTTATAGCGGCTGCTCGTGGCTCGCAACCAATGGCATTTATTTAAACTTCCCGCCGCTTAGGCGGCCAATCCTAAACTGTCGTTATTAACCAATCGTTACGTTGCATTAACTAACCAATAGGAATGTAGTATTAGAAGTCTGTATTTGAATACACTACAATTTGTATTCTAAGAAACAAGTTAATCATAATTTCTCATTTACTAATGTTCTTTTGAAGCTGTGCTTCTCTTCCTGATACTTAAACTACCTTAACTGTTGCTTAGAAAATATGGCTGTTTTTATTTTATTAAAAAAATCTTGGTTAATCTTATGAGTTACTGAATAATTAATTTACAAGGCAATTAGATCAACATGAGAAAAACAATATACAGAAGAGATGGAATTCTTTCACCTTTTATAAATTATACATACGTATTCCAAAGTAAACCTGAAACTTTCCTACATGGTGTCAGCATTTCATATCTGAATACGAATACATGAAAGTTCTGACTGGAAATGCTTTTAATCTGTGTTCACACATTTCTTCTTAGTCTATTTTTAAAGCAGGCATTAATTGGATCCTCACCAAGTTGCAAGACTGGTGTCTAAGACAAGTAAAGCCAGTGGAATGCAGTGGGTCAAAATAGGAAACGAAAGACCTAGGTTCTAACTTCCTCTTCCTCCATAGAAACTCACATTGGACTAATTACTCTCTCAGCCAGCCACCCACCGCCCAATATGAAGATATTGCTGGTGTGTGTGTTTGTGTAGAGGGTGGGGAACAGGCTACCCATCCACCTTTACTTCCTGAGGTAGAAGTATAGATATAAATAGCTATCATACCGTGTTTCTCACATAATAAGGCTGGGGCTTATTTTTTTTTGAGCCCCGAAAAAACGGCTAGGCCGTCTTTTCGGGGGGGGGGTGACTTAATTCCCCCCCTTGCATCCTCGCCAACAGCCGCTCCTAACGGGTGATCATGGCGAAGCGCAGAGAGCTCCCTACTCCCATCTTTGCTGCAGACACCTTTGGCACCCGCCGCTGTTGCTTTCCCTTCTGCCCATTCCGCCACCACGTTTGGAGCTGGCGCTTCCGTGTTTGGAGTGCCGCCGCAATTTGGAGCTCCAAATGCGGAAGCGGCAGCTCCAAACATGACGGCAGGCGATCTTTTTATTTTGGTCCACGTGAAGTTCAGAGCGAGCAAGAGAGGGAGACTGCGATGCCTCCATCCGAGATGGCAACCTCACTAATGGATCACAACGTGGCTGGAAGCCCAAATCGGCGGGATACGATGATAATCTTTTTGGAGCGAGAGGAAAGGGAGATAAGAGTTGCGAGGCGTAATTTGCAGGAGGAAGTGGGTGTACCCCACGGCAGGGAGCCCAAGGAAGAAGGGCCGGTAGGCAACGGAGAGCGTCCCGTAGCTCCGGAAGCAGCCTAGAGACGTGCCCGGGAAGAGGCGCAGATGCTGCCTTGTAGTCCCCAAACCAACTCCAAACGCGAACGTGTTCCAAACGCGAAGCCGGTCGCTAAAGAGCCAGAAAGCAGCAAGGGCGCCAGGTGGAAAGGACAGGGTCACGATCACACGGAGATGCTCAGAGAGCGGAGCGCA